TTTTTATTTTAATATATTCTATTTTTTCTTTATATTTCTATTTTGTCCTGGTCTCTGGTGTCCAGAAGCCTTAAACATGTTGGTTGACTTATGATCCACAAAAAAGAAAAAAATTCATAAGATTTAATTAATTGAAACTTATTGTTTTTGAGCTTAAAGTCCCAGAGTCTTTGCTGCCATTATGCCTAAGGATTCAAGGTTCAAAAACTTTTTAATTTTACTTTATTAGAAGACCATATGCTTTTTTATATTTTTAGAGCTCCTGGATACTAAAAACTAGGAAAAAGTAATCTTTTTGTGTCTTTCAAACCGCAGTCCTTTTTGGAACTTTACATCCCTGAGTAAAAATGAATAAATAGGGGGAGGAGGTCCTAATAATTTTAGGTTGAGTAGGAAAATTTTCAACTTCTTGAGTAGGAACATCAACTTCTGTGTATTAAGCACTTACAAGTACTATCTTATTTTGCCTTTCATTTTTATAATTGTTCATGTTTCATAAATGTTTTATATCTTACAAATTTAATTTGACCATGTTTATTTTTTTTTTGTTATGAAAAAACCTCTCCAGTTCTTTGTAACAACTTTAACTAAACTATTCAGGACAAAGTTTGAATAATCATATCTTTAAAACCATTTGTAATTTTGCTTGGAATTATTTCTTTATTTAATTAATCGATCTGGAATAAATCTAGGTGTGTCAGTCCATCTTCTTTGCTTTTTGTAGGCAGTTTTGCTTCCCTTTTTTATAAGCTGAATTTTGATATTCTTTTATTCAGCCTCTGCTTTCATTATCTAGTAAATGAAATAAGCCAGGTCTTGGTCTAAAATATCTTTTTTTAAATTTTCTTTGCTAATGTGTTTGCAGATCAGAAAAATGATGTCACAAAGTAAGCCAGATTTTAATTCCTTTTGGTATGTAAATGGTATAAATTTGCCTTTGTAATAAATTGGATACACTTAACTTAAATAGTTCATCTTTAATCCAAAAACTAACTAAAGCAAATATTCGTTCTCATTCGTTTTCATCAGGCGGTCAGAAAATTAACTATTTTGTACTTCTTTGCTGCTAAAACAAACTAATTTTGGTGTTCTTAAGTTATCTAGTTTACAGTCAAAGTAGTTTACAATCAAACCTGTATAAATTAGAATTAAAACAGTGGCTAGGTGAACTTAATTATGCAAAATAGAAGATTTTATCCCAGTATCTAATAGCATAGTTCAAAGTAGACTACTAGTATTTAGGTTAACACCATCTAAATTTTGTTATAGTAAATAGAGTATTTTAGATTTCTATTCACATAAATAGGTGAGGTTTAAGCTAAATCACGGTTTAAATCTACATTGTCTTTGGTACAATAATGTATATGGAATTAATATCAACAATCAATTAAAACAAAAACCTAAGTAAATAAAAATTTCAAATAAAAAGCAAATCTGCTTTTGTCTAAATTTGATTTGAGATTTAATTTAAAACTGATAAGATTAATCACAGTTTAAGAGTTCACCATTTCAGTTTACTAAGCTACGAGAAAGTGATTTAAATTGTAATACTTATATAAAATAAAAATAAAACAAAGTTATTGATCTAACAAATATGTTACTAAAATATATTATAAATAAGTTGAGAATAGATTTAATTTCACTATATATTTATTCTGATATTGTCGTAATAATAATTGTATAAGTAATTTTTATTGTGTAAAACATTACTCAATTTCCAAGTTATTTTCTAGTTATTCTGATTTTAAAATCACAAGACACAGATTTTTTTAGATGTTTTTAAGTTAGCTTACTTTTACTTAAGGTTTTTTTAAAACGCTTTTTTGTTCATCTACAAGTTATATGGCTTTTTTTTATGCACCAAAAAATAATTTGATGAAATTATTTATAAATTAGTAAATACCTTTGTAAAGAGATTTTTGTTTTTAAATTAACTTGTGTTTGCTTTGACCAGATCTCAATTTGTGTGTTTTAAATACAAGTTTTGAATCTGATCACAAAGCATCATTTGCAAAAGGTAGCACAAGTACATCATAGTTCAGATAAATTATTCTCAATAAATTTGTATGATAGTTTAAAATTTATTAATTTCATTTTTTTTAGGAATTAAGACAAAAGGTTTTTTTATTGGATAAGGTTAGTTTATTAATTCAATTAGTGAAGCAATTTATGGACCATGAATTAATTTGTATATAAATTCTCATCCAACTTGAATTTATAGAGGATGCAAGACAAAATCATACTTTTGAACAGAATTGTAAGGCCTTCAGTAAAGCTGTAGCTTTACTGATAGCCTAACTAGATGATTTGTTTTTTGAATGATTGTTGTCAAAATAAAAAGTTAAGTAGAATGAAACAAGAAGATCTGCTCTTGTGGTATATGCTCCGTCGAACAAGGATAAATACATCCATTTTTTTATTGTTTTAATTTTCTATAAAAGCTTTGAATTTTCTATAAAAGCTTTGATCTTCAAAAAAATAATTAATTTTAGTTATTTTTTGAAGATCAAAGCTTTTATAGAAAATACTATTATTTTAAAGTTAGTGAATTTTTTATACTTTTTAAGCAAATATATATTTTTTTTAAATCTCTTGTTTGTCACGTGTTTAACAAAAAAAAAAACGTCTCTAAGCAAAAAGAAAATTAAGCAAAAAAAAGTTTTTTTGTGGAAGATATGGTTTATAACTGATATAAATATAAGTTTATATAATATAAAGTTTATATAATATAATTATATAATATAAAGTTTATATAATATAATTATATAATATAAAGTTTATATAAATAAACGTAACAAGACAAATGTCTTGTTACGTTTTAATAATGAGAAATTTTTTATGAAATTAGTTATATTATTTAATTTTTATTCGGTTTATTGTTTATTTTTATGTATAATGATATTAATTTACAAACTAATATATAATATATTAATATATAATAATATGTATACTAATATTAATTTACAAATTGTAAATTCTGTTTAAAAAACATGCGTTTCACTATTTTTTTTGTGGTTTTTTCATTAGGTTTATTATTTAGATTACGCTAAGTTTAAATTACGTTTATATCGTCAGAAAAAATAACAGTAACTAAATTTTTTTTTATTACTTTTATTTTTCATTTTATTTATTTCACATCATTATACTTAATAGAATTTATAGTTTATTTTCTGTATAAAATAATGTATAATTTATTATTCGACGTGTTATCAAGCTTTAAACGTGATCTAAACGTTTTTTTTTGTGTGTGAATTCACAAATACTTTCATTTTATATTAAACGGTTGCTATAGTTACGATATAATTCTATAAAACTAAGCGGTTGATTTAAATTTTTTGTTCGAATTAGTGAAAAGATTTTTGTAAAGTTCGATCATCGAGTTTTATGTATATAAAACCAAACGTTTTGTTTTTTTTTTGGAATAAGTACGAAATTATTCTGTTACCATTGTTTATTAAACTTCACACTGGTAACAAATACTTTTAAAAATTCGTAAGTAAGTATTCTTCAGTTTTATATTCGTTTATTTGTTTTTATTAAAAAAGTTTATGTTTTAAAACAAAATTTATATTGTTACAAAACCTTAACTTACGACGACTGTTTTTCGTGTAAATTTGATGAAATTAAGTATTTTTTTGTTGTTGATATATTAGTTAAATTATATTATAAATATACAAGATTAAGGTGCTAAAATGTGTAAACCTTTAAATTTAATGTAACATTTTTTATAATATTTTGATTTCTATCTCTAAGCTTATTTTTTTTAGTTATAATATAGCAAATAGATACGTGTTTTTATAATGTTCAAACTTTTTTTATATTTAATCTCTTGGAAATGCGATAATTGAGTTTGAATGAGTGAGTTTTTTTTATGGAAAGGTAAATCGAAAATAGATTTAGAATATTATAAATTAAGATTTAGAAAATATGTTAAAAAATAAATCAACTTGCCTTCAAAATGTTAGTGGTGCAAAAAAAAAAAAATGCATATTTATAAACCTTGAAAAAAATTCTTTTATGAAGTATAAGGTAAGACCTTCGTCACAAAAACTCTATGCTACAAAAAATATATTTTCATCGCGTAGAATTCATTGATTTACAAATTTTTTACTTTAAAAAATGTTTGGCATGCTTGCGTATGCAAAAAAACTAGTACAGTATGATAATGGTTTGTAAGTACCTATGCCATACTAATTTTAAAACATACTGAGCTATTATTTAATTGCATTTTTACCCGTTTATTTTTAATCGTTCGTCTAAGTTTGATATTTTAGAAAAAACCTGTTTCTTTTGCAAAAAGTTTCAGAGAAATATGATTTACATGAAACAATTGTGAATGAGGAATTATTTTCTTGTTTGCGTTGAAATGATTGTTTCATGGATTTAATTTTTACTTTTTAAAACCAAATGTCGTTTGATGTGATGTTATTGTAATTTTTAAATTCAATCGCTTTATCTTATGTTTGTTGCTTGTTTTTATATATTATATATATTACATTTTGTAGCTTTAATGATGAAATTATGTTGATTTTGATGTGTAAATGTCTCATAATTATGAATCTTTTATGTGTGTGAACAATCGTTCTAATTTTTGTTATGTTATTTTAAATATGCTTAATTTATAACTTATATTTAAATTATTTTGTTTTAGAAATATGATAAATTAACAAAATTAAAAAATTGTCTTATTTATTATATTTTATATTACATTTTTATATATATTTATTTTTCATATGAATTATTTTATCTAAAGGTTTCACACTTTTATTTAATTTTTTTATATCATTTTAATTTAATATAAATTTATGTATATAATATTATTGTATAAAATATAGTCCATTTAATAAAAATAAAAAATTGTATGTTTTTTATTCAATCATTAGTTAGTAAAAATTATATGTATGAATATGTAGAGTATTATAATGTATATAATGTTATAATTTTGATTATTATTTTTATTATTTGTTCATTTTTATAATTAATATTTAATCTTATTTTAGATCGTCTAAGTAAAAGTGATTACAGAAAAGATTACGATTTATTCATTGAATGTTTTTATGAAAGTCAATCATCATTTGATGATGAAATAAAATCAATTGTTGATAAACGAGATAAGTGGAGTATTTTGATTTACGATGAAAAAACTTCTTACTTTACTTCTTGCGAAAATTATTTCATAAATCATTACGTAAAATCTGGAAGAAAGTTATCGGGGTTACTTGTTAATAAAAATATTTTAAGTGATGAAGAAAAAAAACTTTTAATACAATGTTCAACTAATGTTTGCAATGTCTACTTTTTACGTCCAATTAATTTCGAAGGTTGGAAACCGAAAGATAAGATTGAAATGTTGAGGTTATGGATCTCGAAATATTTAATAACAAAAAAAGATTTTGAAGAAAATTTTCTTCCGTGGATTAATCTTTGTAAAGAATTATATCTTTCACTTCACTACGACGTTGATTTTGATAAAGAATTTTATGAATGGATTCGTTGTTCGAATGTCAAAGAGTTTGAGATCGAGTACCGTGGAAAATATTTTGATAACCTCGATGAATTAAAAAACTTTACAACACGATAAAATATTTAATACCTTAAATATATTAAATAAAAACAATAAATATAAATAACTAATGAAATATTTAATGTATTATTTTATAATAAATACGTTTTTAAATATACAAATTAATTTTACTAGTTTATTAGATTTAATATTTAAAAGTTTAATTTTTTATTATTAAAATATTTTATTAATAATTCGTTTTCAAATATATTAATAGTTATAATTATGATATAAATTATTAAATATATTATTATAATATATAAATTTTCATATATATTATTATTAATAATAATATTATACTTGTAAAATTATAAATTACGTTACATGATTTATTGTTTTTTTTAAATATTATATTTTCAGTTTTTAATTATTATGTTCTTAATATATAATTATTTAAATAATATTGTTAATAAATATTTGTTTTAATAAATAATAAAGGTTTGTTTAATATTTTATTTATATTAATTGTTTTATGTTTTGTGATGTTTAAGAATTAAATTAAAAATTCTAAATATGCAAATTAAAATAAAATGTTAATTTTTTTTATTTTATTATCAATTTCTTTTCAAATAATATCGTATTTAAGATAAAGTCATAAGTTTTTAAGTTGATTGAATTTTGAATAAAACTACTTGTTTTATTAGATTTGCACTTTTTATAAACCTTTTACACAAATTTATGTTTACAAAAAAATAACTTTTTAAGGTTTTCGCCATTGTTTCTTGAAGAGATCAACAAAATAAAAAAAGTCTTCGTCATCAAAAAAAAAATTCGATGGTTTAGTAGAATTTTTCTTCGAAGATTTTTAGTTCGAAATTTCATATTTTATCTGACGTTTTTACTTAATTTTAAACCGACTTTAAATTTTACTTAAACGATCAAAAAATTTTATATAAAATGTTAATAAATATTGAAACAAATATTTTAAGTAAAAATAATTTTTTTTAAATGGTTTTCATTTTTTTTGTAAAAAGTTTTGTTCTCTCTCTCCATAAGTAGCAGTTTTAAAACGTAATTTTAATTACCGAAAACTATAATATTTAGAAAATATAGTAAAAAAACAATGGAAGAATTTAAACTACTTTTTAAGCTAGAAAGAATTAAATAAAAACCAACTAAACATTTAATCTTTTTTAGAAAAATTCAGTTTCAATAAACACCGCGTTTAAATGTTTCTAAAACCGCGAATGAAACTTTATTAAACGATCGTTATAAAAATAAGCAAAAAATAATTTGAGTACGCAAGTCTTGATTTTCAAAAGTTACGCGAACATTTTCAATGCCAAAGATGTTCTTATGTTACGTTAAGGCCATTTGTTAACAAAACTGCAGCTAGCAAGTACTGTGACAGTAAAACCACAACTTTTTTGAACAAATTTAGTTATGTTGAATAACAACAATATAAATAAGTGAATACTTTTTTATAATTTAAATATAAAAAACTATTTTAATTCAAAAATCTTTAAAATTCTGTTTTTAATGTAAGAAAAATTCACGTTTTAAAATCTTTTTTAAATTTTGAAACTTATAAAAAATATATTTTATTTTTCAAAGTTGTAGCAGTAGATTCAAACATCATTGCGAGATGAAATAAATTTTTTTGGAGTTAAAAATAGGGAGGGGGGTTCAGGATTTTATGACGTCTTTTTCAAGGGGGTATAGGGAAAAAGGTCAACCTGTGCCAAAGGGGAGATGGTGGTCAAAAATTGGCTAAAATTGGTGACGTCCTTTATGGATGGCCCCTTGTACCATTTTTAACCCATTCGTGACGCGTGACCCGTAAGGCGGTTTATAAAATTTCTAAACGACGAATGACCCGCATGACGGTGCAAAAACAATTTTAAATATTTTTAAACATCTCTAGCAATTAGGAAAAACTTTAAAACTATCTTTGAATTGTGAATAATTTCTTTAGTTAATGCTTCAAACCGTTTCTTAATTGCATTTAAAGATCGCTCAAAAATCAGTTCTAAAAAATGACGAAGAACAGATAATATTATATAGATATAAATGAAATCAATTATATTTGTTTCAATGATAGTGGTGGATATTTTTTTTGTTTAATCAGCATTATAAAAACTTTTTTTAATTGTTGAATATTCTAAAAGTCAATTCTTAGATAAAAAAAAACAAGGTCTTGTTTTTCAAATTCTGACTTGTAGTTTTTATTTTATACTCTTTCAATTGATCATGATTCTAGTTCTTTATTTTACGCGCAGCCATGTAGCTGTTTTTAGCTCAGTCGCGAAAGGGTTAAAATGCAAACATAAAAGAAAGCACTGAAATTAATAGGAAAAAGCCAACAAAATTTCAAGGCCTTAGTTATTGGCCTTAAGGCAAATAATTGAAACTAGCAGTTCTGATTAAAACTCTTGTATAATTCTCACCTATAAAATTTTTTATCTGTATTAATATATAATGTTATTAAAAAGTATAATATTATTAAAAAGTATAATGTTATTAAAAAATAAATTTTATACAGAATCACGCACTAAACAGAAACTATGAAAGTCTTTCACAGAGTTCATGCAGTTTGTTAATATCTCAGCAACTCATAGTTAATATACTTTCAATAAGAAAGTCTAATCTTTCAAGCAGGAGTATAGCGTTATGAAAACCGTTGTATATTAGTCAATCTATCGCAATATTAACTCAAATAAAAGATATACTGATAAAAATATACATGTTTAAACATTTAGCCTAAAATAGGATAAAAGTATTTTATAATCTCAGTTCTTATTGTAAAAAGTAAAAAAAAAAAATACACAAAAAAATGGAAACCAATAATAAGTTTAAAAATGATCTGTTAAACTCTGACGTAAGATGCTAGCATCAGAGGGGATATCCATAAATATCTCTGTAAATATAAGGGGGGGGGGGGGGATTAGGGTACTGAAACGTTTGACAAGAGTTGACGACGGAAAAGGGAGCACCAAAATTGAGACCAAAATCATGTCAATTAAAAAAAAAAGTTGGTTTTATACGCGCGGATTTTAAAGGTATTTAAATATTCAATGTGGTATAGAAAAGACATATTTGTTTTGTGGGTAATTTGATGTAAGTTTATTAGAAATATAAAATAATTTGAAAATTTACCAACTTTTTATTATTGTATTACCATTTAACTGTAAATTAAATTCTTTACAAATATTAACTATTAGTATATAAATTTAAGAATTGTAATTCGCAACTTAGCGGATTATAAAATGTGCTTCAAAACAAACGCATAAAGTCATTTTTTATTATTTCAAATTCAACTGTCTTTTAAGTACATAAATAATTAAGTAATTATTTTAAGAACAAAACTTTGTTTTCTCTCTAGCGACTTGTAAAATGTGATGAAATGCAAACACATAATGTTACTATTGCGAATACGAAACTCTAATTGCCCTAAAGCGGCTTGAAGAAGTTCTTTCAAACAGCTTACAGCAGGAGCAAAATCATCATTTTGATTGTGATGTAAGTAATACTGATAAACCAATAAAACATATATGTATAAAGCAACGAATCTGGTTATGTCTCAAGAAGACAATAACAGTTTGGTTTGCTGAGAGCATTCACTACCTATTGTTACAATCGTAGATCACTTCAACAACCCGTGGAAAGATGATGAGTGATTGAATTTATATTACAGGTACAGAATAAAATTTGCTTAATTTGATTAGTTTGTTTATTATTTGACGAGATATTAAGTGTTCTATAATATTATTTGATAAGATCTACTACAAAATAAATGCATAATTTAACCAGAAACAAATCAATGCTGGTTACGCATATGCATGGTCACTTTAGGGAGGGAAGGGGAAAGAGATACGAAAACTGACATCATATATAAGGAAGGGAGGAGAAATTGGCCAAAAAAATAACAGAGTTTGACAAGGGGAGGGGTGAAAAATTGTTAGAAATCTCATACATCATTTATGGAATGTATGCCTTAGAAAAAAAAACAGTTTTTAATACTTTTTAGTTTCGATATAATATAAAGCATTAAATTATTTAGTTTTCAAATTGCACGAAACTTCCAAATTAAATTTTAAAAAAACAATAGAACACGATAAAATAAATTTTTTTTTTATAGTCAAATTTTAAAAGTTTCTTTTTTTTCGTTTAAAACTTGAATAAATTTTAGGACTTCAAAGTAAATTTATTCTCCTATTAAAAGTCAATCCATATTTTATGTTCTCGATAAGATATACAAAATTCTGAGAGTTTAGTTCATTTCGGGGGCAACGTTGTTTTTGCTATTTGATTTTAGATTACACTTTTCATTTATAATTATTTCAAACTTGTTGTTGAAGTTTGCTGGCAAAAGTATTATCTATACAAAGTTAGATTCCAATTGATTTTATTTCAAATATACCCATCATTTTCGTATTTTTCACAAGTGGTTTTGCATGTTCTCGTTTTTGTTTAAAGTATATGATACGTCAAGCGTGTTTTTGTAGCCTATACATTTTTAGACATTTTTTTGATTGCGCACTACCCCATTTTATGTTTGCATAGTCAATAAACCCAAAATATTGACTATACAAACATTTTATGTTTGCATAGTCAATATTTTGGGTTGTTTCAAACAGTGAACCAACCCAAAATATTATATTTTGAGACTTAAAATATCGACATATTTTTTTTTTTTTTTTTTTTTTTTTTTTTATTCATATATTTGCCGTACATATAACATTTACAAGTTTCGTAAATTAATATTTACAAGTCTCGTGAGTCAAAATATATATAGTGAAATTTATAATTAAATAGTACAGGCCGGACTTCAAGAAGATCGTAATGATCTTATCACGAAGCTCTTACAATGTGTTTGATATATTATTATGATTATGTTAAATATATATATAAATATAAATATATATAAAATATATAAATATAATTATATATTAAGTACAACTATGTTTATATATTCTTTAAATTTAGCTCTAAATAAAAAATAAACTCAAAATAAGCTCAGTATAAAATATTAGACATAACTAGCAGCATAATAACTAAACTTGATAAGAAAAAATCAAGTGTCTTTTTTGTGTGTAATAAACACA